ATCTCACACGTTGGACATATTTACATCTATTTTACCGATTTAAATGGGAGGCGTGTCAGGGGAGGTGTCTCAGGTGCGCTCAGTTCCACATTTATTGGAATGTATAAAGGAAAGGTGCACAGGAACCTGAGTGYGCAGTTTTATACAATTGAATTTTTTTTGGTGCGGCTAAATTTGGTGCAGCTAAATGATTTCTAAATTTGTCCGTACGTCAACTKTTAGTGTGAAAGCTGYGCAATCCTTTATGCATGAGGCCCCTGGAGAGACTAAATTCAACTTTTCTACCTCCTACAGGYCAAGTACACAACAAAATGTATTTAACAGCTAAAAAAGTGGATTTTGCACATGCCMCCTTAAAAAAAGTCCATCCTTCCACACATTTCTGTACATGAATGGATGTAAAGTGAGGTTTTATTGTCTTATCAATGGAGTCACCACTGTGAACTCATGTATCTACAGTCTGATCAGTGAGTTTCTTACCTCAGCAGCTTGGCTCTGCTCTGCAGGTTGTCCAGCAGCTCAATCTTGCTGTTCATATCATGGATCTCATCCTGAAGGTTCTGACGGGTAACATCCACCTGCTGGCAGAGCTGAGCAAACACACCAGCCAACTCCCTGTGCAMCACAACAACAAGAGAAACAGGCTTACACAGCATTTCAGCAAGTCTGATYCGTTCATGCTGAATCACAGTTTCATCTATAAAACCAATGATCAACTCACTGCTGGACTTGGTGGCTGCAGTTGGATCCAGTGTAACTGACTATTAGCTGCAGCTTCTCGCTTGCATACTCCACAAACTGTCTTTTAAAGGCTCTCTCTTTGGCTTTGGTGGTCCAGGTGAGGCGCTCATAGACATATAGAAGTCCATACAGACCCAGGGACAGGGCRATGAGACGCCAGCCCACTGCCTTCCAGATCTGCAAAACATTACCACAGCTTTACATACCAAGGATGGCAGTTTGTTTTCATCAGTCCAACAACCCACAAAGAYATTCAGAATATGTTTTAAGCAATACAGAAGTGACAAATGTTTTGTTTTCCTTTAGCTCTTCAGTTACACATCTGCCATGAAAGATTGAGACTTCTTTTTTTAGAGCAAATATTACTCTGAACTTTTTAAGTAGAGGATTTTAAGCATGGACAAAATTTTGGTCATGAGGTTGTGGCAGAGTCTCATCATGGTGGTGTAGCACAGTGGTAGACAGTAACAGAGTAAATTTACTTGAGTATTGTACTTAAGTACATTTTTTTAGGTATCATTATTTTTCTTGAGTAATTATTTTTTGGGGAACTTATGACTTTGACTCCACTACATTTCTAGGAAGCTTGTAGTTACTCTTTCCTTTTGGTTCAGCATAGCTTTGTAATCAGCTGTTGCTGTTTTTTTTTCTTGAAAAGCAATTGGCCACACTATATTCCTCACAAGGGGAACCAATCACAGTCGTAGCTCACACTTGGAATGGATTTGGAACTACCGTATTTTTCGGACTATAAGCCGTGACTTTTTTCCTGAACTTTGAACCATGCGGCTTATACTCCGGTGCGGCTTATCCATGGATTTTTTTTCTTCAGCCACCAGGGGGCTCTTAAGCTGCATTTGCTTCAACCACTCGCTTCAAATAAAGAAAGGAACAAAAAATAAGAAAAAAGCA